AGATAATAAGGGAGTGTATGAGTTGTTTAGTGGTGTCTGGGGTGAGGAACATACGTATCTTGGAGATATTGCGAAGGTGGAGCCTGCATGAATTCGATAGTGATTGGACATGAGGTTGGAAGGAAAGGTTTGAGTCCAGGGTGACACCCAGGACTTTGGCGTGTGGGGTGGGATTGATGGTGGCGTTGTTAGTCGTGATGGAGAGGATGGGGGGGGCGGGCTGGGGGGAAAACTAGGAGCTCAGTTTTGGAAAGGTTTAACTTGAGGAAATGGAGCAACATCCAGTCTGATATATCGTTTAGGAGGTGGGCAATGCGGGCAGACAGTGAGGGGGTGAGGTAAGGGGTGGAGAGGTAAATTTGTGTGTCATCGGCATAGATGTGATAGTTGAAGCCGTGGGAGTGTATCAGTTTGCCAAGGGAGGAGGTGTAGATGGAGAAGAGAAGGGGTCCCTGGACAGAGCCTTGGGGGACTCCAACAGAGAGGGGGAGAGAGGGGGAGGTGGCAGCGTTATAGGTAACGCTGAAGGAGGGTTGGGATAGGTAAGAGGAGAACCAGGAGAGAGCAGAGTCCCTGATGCCAAGGGAGTGTAGTTTAGTAAGGAGGAGGGGGTGGTCGACTGTGTCGAAGGCCGCGGAGAGGTCAAGGAGTAAGAGGACAGAGTGGTGGCCATTAGCTTTGGCGGTTAGCAGGTCATTAGTGATTTTAAGTAGGGCAGTTTTGGTGGAGTGTAGGGGACGGAAGCCAGACTGTAGTGGATCGAGGAGGTTGTTGTCAGTGAGGTGGGTGCTTAGGCAATTGTAGGCTAAGCGCTCAAGGAGCTGGGAAGTAAATGGCAGCAGGGAGATGGGTCTAAGTGTCAGGAATGGACTCAGCACTGGTGGTGGGACTCACCTGCCGTGTGGGCTTCAGTACCAGAGCTGACCAGCGGGTGCTCTCAGCACTGGTGGTGGGACTCACCTGCCGTGTGGGCTGCAGTACCAGAGCTGACCAGCGGGTGCTCATAGCAGCCAGAAGCTCACAATCAGCCAAACCTGGGGCTGATTGCAGAAAGGTGTATATAAGGAATGACCAGGCCTGTGGTCTGGGCCTTGGTGTATGTTTTCCCATGAGCCTCTGTACCTAGTATCTTGAGTTCCTGCTTCGTTGCTCACCCGGCTTGATCCTGACCTCTGCTGACCGTCTCCTGTTGAACCCCTGGCTTGCCTGACCATCCTTCTGCCTGATCCCCTGTACCGCGCTGTCCGCGAGTTACTGAACCCGGCTTGTGACCTTGACCATTCTCTGCCTGCTCCTTTTGGTACCTTGCTGCCCGCACGTTGCTGACTTGGCCCGTCTGACCACGCTAACTACTCTGCCTTCCATCCATCCTGCACGGATCCAGCCGTACCTGCACATACCTCTGGCGGATCCCTCTACCACTAGCAGGTGTACTCAGGGGGCCGCGACCTGGTTCCTGTCTGCTCCAAGTCCATCCCCACCATCAGGGGCCCTGGTGAATAAGCAGACTGGGACTTAGACTCCGCGCCCTGGGGAATCCTGTCCTGGGGACCACTATAGGTACCACCAAACAGTCACTACAGAACCCTACGGCTGGCCTGACCGTTCCACCTCTCCAGCCCTGACTACGCCTGTGTTCCTGCACCTACTAAGATTAGTGGAAGGTTGGTTTGTTCACTGTGCGTTTTTATATATATATATATATATATATATATATATATATATATATATCTGGGTGGCTAATAATAAACTGTATTATACTGTACCTGAGACCTGCGTTTCCCTGTGTCAGTCCACACCTTTCTGGTCATTCCTTGATTCCTGACACTAAGGTTGTTCAGGTCAGTGGGGTATAGGGAGGGTTTTTTGAGTATGGGGGTGATGTGTGCGTGCTTTAGGGGGGAGGGTAATGTGCCAGTAGAGAGGGAGAAAATGAAGATGTGGGTGAGGGAGTGAATGATGGAGGAGGGGGGTGACTGGAGGAGTTGTGAGGGGATAGGGTCCAGGGGGCAAGTGGTGAGGCGGGCTTCACTAACTATGGCACAAAACCAGACCCCAACAAGTGTTCACCCGATATAAATCCGCCTTCCTCACCTACACTTCCTCCCTCTATGCTGCCAAGCAAGCCTACTTTGTAACCCTCATCAATACCCTCTCCTTCAGTCATCACCGGCTCTTCTCTACTTTTAACTCTCTACTCTCTCCGCCAACACCTCCACCCAGTACCTCACTCACCGCCCATGAGATTGCCAAACACTTAAAAAAAAAGATTGACGCAATTCTTAGGGACATCACCTCTGTTCAGACTTCCACCCCACCTAGCACCCCTCACACGGAAACCCCCTCAACACCCCTCTCCCTCAACCTCACCACTGTCCAGACCTCCGCCCCACCAAACATCCCTCACACTGAAACCCCCTCAACACTCCACTCCTTCGACCTTGCTACCACTGAAGAGGTCACTAAGGTCTTCTCAGAAGCCCGCTTCACCACCTGCCCCCTCGACCCTGTCCCCTCACAACTCCTACGATCTCCCTCTTCCTCCATCTTACGCTCCCTCACCCACATCTTTAATCTCTGCCTCTTTACTGGCGCATTCTCCTCTCCCCTCTGAAGCACGCACACATCACTCCCATACTTAAAAAACCCTCCCTGGATCCCACCGACCTGAACAACCTTAGACCCATCTCCCTGCTGCCATTTACATCCAAACTCCTTGAGCGCTTAGTCTATAATCGCCTAAGCTCCCACCTCAATGACAACAACCTCCTTGATCCCCTACAGTCTGGCTTCTGTCCCCTACACTCCACCAAAACTGCCCTACTCAAACTCACCAATGACCTGCTAACCGCCAAAGCTAATGGCCACTATTCAGTGCTCCTACTCCTTGACCTCTCTGCAGCTTTCGACACAGTCAACTACCCCCTCCTCTCAAAAAAACTATACTCTCTTGGCCTTAGAGACTCCGCTCTCTCCTGGCTCTCTTCCTATCTATCACAGGGCTCCTTCAGTGTTATCTATAACGCTGCCACCTCCCCCTCACTCCCCCTCTCTGTTGGAGTCCCTCAAGGCTCTGTCCTCCGGCCCCTTCTCTTCTCCATCTACACCTCCTCTCTTAGCCAACTGATACACTCTCACGTCTTCAACTACCATCTCTATGCTGATGAAACGCAAATCTATCTCTCTACCCCTCACCTCACTCCTTCAGTCTCCGCCCGAATCACTAGCCTACTGAACGACATATCGGATTGGATGTCACTCCACTTCCTCAAACTGAACCTTTCCAAAGCTGAGCTTCTAGTTTTCCCCCCAGCCTGTGCACCCCCCCCCGACTTCTCTCACATCACGACCAACAATGCCACCATCAGTCCCACCCCGCAAGCCAGAGTACTTAGTGTAATCCTAGACTCCAATCTGTCCTTCCAGCCCCAGGTCCAATCGCTGACAAACTCATGTAGACTCCACCTCCACAACATCTCCAAAATATGTCTGTTCCTAACCCCGGAAACTACTAAGCAACTCATTCACTCCCTTATCATATCACGACTTGACTACTGTAACTCCCTCCTCACCGGCCTACCTCACCACAGGCTATCCCCGCTTCAGTCGATCCTGAATACTGCGGCTAGACTCATCCACCTTACCAACCACTCCGTATCCACCACCCCCCTCTGCCAATCCCTCCACTGGCTTCCGATTGCCCAATGGATAAAATTCAAAATGCTAACACTGACATACAAAGCTGTCCATAACACTGCCCCATACTACATCACAGACCTGATATCCAAATACCACCCAAAACATACTCTCTGCTCCTCACAAGACCTCCTTCTCTCTAGTTCCCTGGTCTCCTCCTCCCATGCCCGCCTCCAGGACTTCTCCAGGGCTTCACCCGTCCTCTGGAACTCCCTACCCCAATCCATCAGACTTTCACCTACTCTCCTCTCCTTTAGGCGCACCCTGAAAACCCACCTCTTCAGGGAAGCCTACCCTGCCCTCAGCTAATTGCCGATCTCCTCCACTCTTCCTACCACTCCATCTCCCACAGCTATCCCTCCCGTACCACTATCCCCTCCCTCTTAGATTGTAAGCTCCAAGGAGCAGGGCCCTCGAACCCCTCGTGTATCGCATTGTATTGTTATTGTACTGTCTCGTGTATTGTCTCCCATTGTAATGTACAGTGTTGAGCGAACTGTTGGCGCTATATAAATACTGTATAATAATAATAATAATACTTTATATCAACAAATTTTTAGTCTAGTAAAAACATCATTTAAAAAATGTAGTGAACAGCACAAACATGAACTGGAGCTCTCCCAGCAGCAAATTGTTAATTACAACAATATATGTTTCTCTTGTGCTACTGATGCAAATGTGAACAAGTGTGGAAGGCAATTTTAGTCAGCCATTATAGGACAGCTAAAGATCACAATCTAAAAGAGAATTTTGTTTGCCTTAAAATGAGACTATTGTCCAACCCTCCTTAATTAACCAGTACTAAACAAAAAAAACAGCTCAGGCAATGATATATGTATGTATCACATATATAGTTTGTTTTTAGTTTTTTTAGGTGCGTTCTTTATTTATAAGGTTGATAAGGTTTAATTAAAATGTCCATAAAATGATATCAGCATCATGACCGTTTGCATTGGTACACAATGAAGATAACTTATTTGGCTATTATATTGTCAATGGAAGGCTTAACTAAGCCATTTAAAAACTTTTAATATAATTAAAACCACACTATTGTAAGTGTATTGCTTTATTACTGCAACTCTGAGGCATTTTCATTGTCTGCCCAAGTGTTACAGTGGGTGTCACCTTTTTACACATTAGCCAATGAATTCTTTAGGTAATGCCATTGGCTAGCAAAAAGCCAGGGTTCCTGCCATACCTTCTAGTGCCTTATAAGTATCACAAGTATTGAATGCTCTTCATTTTTGGGGATCTTTAAACTCAGTAAACATCATCTTGGATTGTACTGGAAAGGATTATTAATCATGGAATACAGAATATTCTACATTATTGCGACTATATTAGTATTTTGTCCCTTTTTCACTGCATCAGCATGGTAAGCCTGAATACAAATGATCTTTTTTTATTACCAAAACATTTCCGTTACTAAAAAAATATTAGCAATTTGTTATGTTTCTCATTCTTGTTCTAGGTCAGTCAACAACTTTCTAATGACAGGACCGAAGGTAATGTAAAAGTCTAAGTATTTTTTTTAAATTTTACTTTATAATAGATAGAAATTACTGCAACTACATTTATGGTATTATTTTTTTTAAAGGCATACTTGACATATTCCACAAGTGTGGCAGTTGGAGCTCAGAGTGGTATTGAGGAATGTAAATATCAGTTTGCATGGGAAAGATGGAACTGTCCAGAAAGTGCGCTTCAGCTGGCAACCCACAACGGACTCAGATCTGGTAATGTATTTTACCTTTTAAATGTAATATTTAAATGGTTTTACAGAACAGTAAATTGATGTATAAATTGGATCGTAGTTGTTATTAAATGCTGCTGAATGTTTTTGGTTCCATTTAAAAACTAATTTGGTACATATGGTGCACATATTTTATTGACAAATACAAGCTTTTGAAAGTGGGGCACAATTTTTAGTCAACTAAAATTTCATATTCTCTTATGTGGACTAACTCACTAAGATAATAATCCTTCACTAATTTGACCATAGTAAACTGATATCTTATAATTATGAATTCCTGCAGTTGGAAAACCCTCAGTTCTGCCTGTATTGTCTTTTTTTTTTTTAAAAATGTCTCTACGTTTCCAGGTTTATATTTCAAAATTATGATCAGTACATATTCTGCCCTGGAAAAATATACAACCACACCACTGAAAGGACTCTTATAACACTAAGGGCCAGTTCACACTACACATGAGTTTCAGTTGTATTTTTTCTGCATCCAAAATGCACAGAAGTAGGTTATATGGTTGTCAATGTAATAGTTCACATCAGTGCTTGCAGTTCCAGTGCGTTCCGGATGCAGAAAAAAAGTAGAACATGTTGCATTTTTTCTGAACAGAACTGTACTGGAACGTGGCAAAATGCATCAAAACTGCACCGGAACGTACTGGAATGCACCAGAAATGCACTGGAACACACATGTCCCTATTTAGGTGGAAGAAAAAGAGAGGGGGGGGGAAATTAACTGGAATGCATAAAAATCGCACCGAAACGCATCAAAAACGCCTAAACATGCGCATGTAAAAATGCATCCAGAACGCATCTGGACTGTGTTTCTATAGTGTGAACCGGCCCTAAGGGCTAGTTCACACTAGATGCAGTTCAGTGTGCTTTTTTTCTGAATCAAAAATGCATGCACAGTGTTTTCTATGCTTTCCAATGGCCCTGGTTCACACTAGTGCAGTCAGTTCCAGTCTATTTCCGGTGCAGAAATAAAAGTAGAGCATGGTGCATTTTTTCTGCACAGAACCATACTGGAACATGGCAAACTGCATCAAAACTGCACCGGAACTGCGTGTGGTGTGAACTGTTAGCAAAAAAACATGTCCGGAATGCATTTTTGTAGTGAGAACTGGCCCTAAAAGTATATTTTCTGTTTATGTAAACTTTCATGATTACAAATTGTTACAGTATATCTTCAATTTTGTATATATTTACATACACCATCTCATCTCTCTCTCTCTCTCCTCTCTCTCTCTTCTCTCTCTCTCTCTCTCCTCTCTCTCTCTCTCTCTCTCTCTCTCTCTCTCTCTCTCTCTCTCTCTCTCTCTATATATATATATATATAATATATATATATATATATATATATAATCTTTTTACTTTCTCTTTTCTATTCTGTAGCAACAAGAGAAACATCTTTTGTACATGCTATCAGCTCAGCAGGCGTAATGTACACTTTGACTAGAAACTGCAGCATGGGGGATTTTGATAACTGCGGATGTGATGATTCCAGAAATGGAAGGATTGGTAAGTTTATGTCTCACCAATTTTTAATATATTTAAAGAAATAGCCCAACCAATGCTAGAATAACTCTCTGCTGTGCTGATTATATATAGCAAGTCTACTATGTACATGTTTTGCCTACATTTTAAATGGTATATTTTAAGAGTGGTTATTTCTTCACCTGATTTAATGCAACTTAATTTGTGAGAATAGAGCCAGGTAGAGGATAGCTAGAGAACCGTAACACATGGAACTCAGCATCAGAGGTACATAATGATTTTCTGAAACCAATTGATGATCATTATATACTTTTTTTGTGGAGAAAAGGAAATAAAGCTTTTACTATGTAAGCAAGGGAGAAGACTGCAGAGGGTCTCAGAGTTACAAGTGAATACCATATGACAGATATCCCAACCCCTAACCATCTTTGTGAAAGAGCTATCGGTCCATTGTCACCCTGTGCAAAAAAGTTAAATATTTTTTTAATGGTAAAGCTATACCAGATATTTAGAATACTGCCTAACCTACTCGGTCTGTTTACACAGTATATTTTATTTGTATATTAATATAATAATAATAACATACAAATATATGTAAAACTCTGTAATATGTAATATGATCATATGTAGTTGTGAATTGTTATGCATTAATGTAACCTCTGTGAATCTGTGACTTGGACCATTATGGTTCAGAGATATATGCCATTTCATAAACCCTACAAAACATATAACCACAATTTTTAAATGTTAAGAATTGAATTTAAAATTCTGGCATAATCTAAGGTGAACATTTTTATGTAACACAGATGACTAGATTGTGCATGTTAAAGTTACAAGAATGTATCCTTAAAAAAAGTAACCTTATGAACTGCCATGCATTTTACTGTGGGCTAGCTATGGGAAATTTCCATTTGTGCCTCTGGTTTCCTGGTTCTAACAGCCAGTTACCTGCTGTTATCTGTAGTAGTATACTATTGTAATGCACAGTGGGGGGGATGCCCAAAAGGTCATTACATTACATATGCAAAATAACCTTTCTTTCATTAGTTAAAAAGAACACATATACACATCCTTAATTGTGTATTTTCATTTAGCATGTTGATCTGATTTTTCCTACAGTGTAATGTGCCAAAGTGTGGTTAAGATGGTGCTGGAGGATTAAAATAAAAAACCCATGCTTTTATTTTAATAGGTGGAAGAGGCTGGGTATGGGGTGGATGCAGCGATAATGTTGATTTTGGAGAGAGGATCTCAAAGCTGTTTGTGGATGGCCTAGAGACAGGACAAGATGCCCGGGCTTTAATGAACTTACATAACAATGAAGCAGGAAGACTTGTAAGTCTATTAACAATTGTTTGATAATCGCGTTCCATTTTGATATCTTCTTTTAACCTGCCAGAATTAAAATAGAATAGCCTACGAGACTTCTTTCCACTGAAAGGTCACCGGAAAAACCATACTTTTTTTGTACCTTTAGCACCTTCTAAATGTGACAAGTGCAAACTTAGAACAGTCAGTGAAAGTGTCACAGAAGTGTGTGCTAAGCAATAGGTAATGTTCACACCTCTGCTTAATGTGTCTTTAGTTTGGGATTAAGGTTCCTAATAGGGTAACTTTCTACAACACCAGAAGTGTCACAAGAGGAATACAATTCTGAAAGGAAAATGGTTTTCTAGCCATGGTGTACTGAATATATTCTACTGCTCATGTTCACGATTACAAATATTTGAGCTATCTTCTGTAGTCAGCAATGGCAGTGGTGTTGCATGCCAAACAAAAATTGGTGAAAAAATTGGCTAAAATAAGTTTTACTATTGAAACATTTGGGTTGATTTACTAAAATTGGAGAGTGTAAAATCTGGGACAGCTCTACATGGCAGCAAATCAGCTTCTAATTTCAGCTTGTTCAATTAAGATTTGACAAAAAAAATTGGAAGCTGACTGGTTTCTATGCAGAGCTGCAGAGCTCAATCCACCTGCTGCTTAAAAGATGGGCTAGACATTATTATCATTATTATACAGGATTTACATAGCGTCAACAGTTTGCTCAGTGCTTTACAATATAATGGGAGACAATACTGGAACAATACAGTTCAATACAAGAGGGTTAGGAGGGCCCTGCTCCTTGGAGCTTACAATCTAAGAGGGAGGGGCTAGTGGTACAAAAGGTAATAACTGTAGTCTGATAAATTGGGACAGAGAGTTCCAGAGGATGGGGGAAGCTCTAGAGAAGTCCTAGAGATGAGCATGGGAGGAGGAGACAAGGGAGCTGGAGAGCAGGAGGACGTGCGAGGAGCGGAGAGTACGGTTTGAGTGATATTTGGAGATGTAATTTAGGTCAGAGTTATAAATGGCTTTATATTTTATTGTTAATGTTTTGAATTTTATCCGTTGGGCAGTGGGAAGCCAGTGGAGGGATTGGCAGAGAGGGATGGCAGATATGGAATGGTTAGTAAGGTGGATGAGTCTGGCAGCAGCATTCATGATAGACTGAAGAGGGGAGAGCCTGGGATGAGGTAGGCCAATTAGGAGGGAGTTACAATAGTCAAGGCGAGAGATAACCAGGGAGTGAATAAGTTGCTTAGTAGTTTCAGAGGTTAAGAACGGGCATATCATATTACAATTGTGTTCCCACTAGCAGCCGCTCTGGCTGATCAAACTGCACGTGTGCGCTCTCTCCTGCTCTAGCTGAGCTCAGCTAGAGCAGGAGAGGGCGCACTGTTCATGTAAGCAGTTTGGATTGACCTCTAGGGGGGTGGAGAATTGTAAAGTCCAGCCAGTCCAGTAAATGGCAGAAAGCAGGGGGATCAAGGGATCAGCTTCTTTCATGGAGAACCACCCACACACACATCTGCATGTGTGATGGGGGGAGGTAAAGCATTTTAAATACACTGGTATGTACTATTCAGAAGATATGGAAATGCATAGGGGGAGTTTTGGAAAATCTTGCTCAAGGTAAATTTATACCTTAACTACACAAAGTGAACAGTAGTACTGCACAATTAAAATTACTGAATACAATCTAGGAACTCATGGTAGCCATGTTTATAAGCTCCATCATAATTGGCTTAAGTGTGTATTGTATGTAAATTTGGGCACTAGGTGTGAAAATCAACGTTTAAATACCAGTTTTCTACCTTGTTCCCTGGTTGGAAAGCTACTGAGAAAATAAAATGTAATGTGTGCTGTTTAAAGCGGATCTATACTATACCTTAATGCCTGTGCTGTGGTGTTCCAGAGCTCCCCGCCAGCTGCTGACATCTTTGGCTAGTCTGTCTTCCGATACTGATGTTTAGCTCTTTTCATTGGCAGGGCCGAGATTACATCACTTCTGTGCATGCGCAGGAGTTTGTTCATGTCAGCATTGTCAAAATTGTACACTGAGCTGCATGTGCACATCTCAGTGTGGAGAGAGGGTAGGCAGGTAAGAAACTAATGAGGAAGAGACAAGGGGTTTGATTTCCTAAAATTGGAGATTGCAAAGCCTGGTGCAGCTTCGCATAGCTTTCAGGTTTTATTGTCAGATCTTAACTGAACAAGCTGAAGTGAGAAGCTGATCGGCTACCATGCACAGCTGCACTAGATTTTGCACTCTCCAGTTTTAGTAAATCCACCCCATTATGTCTCTTCTGCATTAAAAATCCACCACTTTTCTCTCTAAAGTTCCCCTTTAGCCTGGGTTCACACTGATGCGGTGCAGAATTTGCAACGCATCACAATCGCACCCCATTCATGCGAACTGCTGCATGTTAAATTAACAACACCCCAAAAATCGGTCAGCAAAACGCGGTGCGATCTGCAGAATCAAATCGCATGGGTGTGAATACCCATGTGATCCGATTCTAGTGCGGACCAAAAAAAGGGTCCTGCACCTTTTTGGTGCAAATGCGGTGCGATTTGAGTCATACAAAATGTATGGCTCAAATTGCACCACACAGAATTCACATTTGATTTGCACAGGAATGCGGTGTGGTTCTTGTGCGAATGACATGTGTTATGCCGCACTGCACAAGTGTGAACCCAGGCCAAAATTGTATATATCACAAACAAGTTAACATTGTTAGTCTAAAATTGTATGTCTAATTGTAAGCATTTCTTTCAAATAGGCAGTCAAAGCAACAATGAAAAGGACCTGCAAGTGCCATGGCGTATCCGGAAGCTGTAGTGTGCAAACGTGTTGGTTGCAGCTTGCAGAATTCCGGGACATTGGGAACCACTTGAAAGTCAAACATGACCAGGGTCTGAAACTAGAAATGGACAAGAGGAAAATTAGGTCTGGAAATAGTGCAGATAACAGAGGAGCAATCGCTGATGCTTTTGGCTCTGTTGCTAAATCTGAGCTTATATTCCTGGAAGACTCTCCTGATTATTGTTTAAAAAATGTCAGCTTGGGTCTTCAGGGAACAGAGGGACGGGAATGCTTACAGAGTGGTAAAAAATTTTGTCACAATGGGAGAGGAGAAGCTGCAGAAGGCTTTGTACTGAATGTGGCCTGAAAGTGGAAGAAAAAAAGATCGAGATTATTAGCAGTTGTAACTGCAAGTTCCATTGGTGTTGCACAGTAAAGTGTGAGCAATGCAAGCAAGTGGTAGTCAAGCATTATTGCTCCAAGGACAAAATTACTGACAATACTTCCATAAAAAGGAAGAACCGGGGACATCAGAGATAAGTTAAGTAACCCATTTGCCACGGACTATACTATAATGTTTATGTCTTGTATTTTCTTTGTTGTTGAATTATTTTTGTTGTTTCCTATTAATTTATCAATGTTGTAAATGTAAACATTAAATACTATTGTATATTGATATGCATGTCAGTTGTAAATATTGCTTAAAACAAAACATATGCACTTTTCATAAAGAATGTGAATCCTGAACTAAAATAAACCTTTACGGGTATCTTTTAAGAAAATATTTAAATTAAATACCTGTGTCTGTGTTCTTTTATATTTCACTGCCAAAAAATGTAATTATCAAAGGTAGAATTAAGGTGCTTTCAATTATTTTTCCTAGGAAGCAATGGGGTTGATCTACCAAAGGAATATAGACTATTAACTTAGCAAAGCAAAAGTGAATGATCACTTAGGGGGAAGCTGGGTTCACTTTGAAAAAACGCTTGGTGGTCTTCCGTACCAACTCCTACTCAAGTGAAAAAAAGATGATGTAGTATTTGACTGATGCAAAATTATCAGCAACCCTCTATGATAAGGCTCGAGTTTATGAGAAAATCTGGTCTCTTTGGATTGATTTAATTCTCTCAATAGACTTTGATAAATCCTGGTTACATTTATAAACCCAAATTTTGTTAAAGCTAATTTCCACGTGTTTGGTCCACATGTCATTTCTACTCTTCAATCTTTTTTCCCTTTACTACACCAAAAAATCTACAATTTTTATGATTTATATCATCAATATTATATCATCTTTTACTTAGATTCAATGAAACTCTAAGACACATACAGTATATAAAGACTATGATTATTTTATATTGTCTTATATTATATTGTGTTTAAAATTAATATATTGTTTATGTATACTATCCTTATGACACTTGTACTTTGTTAAGCTTTAATTTTTTATGATATGTTACCGCTTGTTATCGTCATGGTTATATATACTAAGATGCTTTGTCTTCCATTACAACATTAAAATGTAATAAAAACTTATTGCAAAAAAGAAAAATCCAATAATGTGTGAGAAAAAGGTAAACAAAACAGGAAGTTTGCTTGTATATGATTGGATGACTGAAGTGAACACAGCTTCGCTGGTTCACTAGACTAAGTAATATTAGTCTTGTATGTGTTCTATGACATCTCCATAAAAAGCAGCACATTCAGATAAAAAGCACATACAAAGATAGGACAAGATTTGGTCACACACTAGCGTAGCCAAATCTCAATGACACAGAAAACTAGCATCTGAATTGGGATGGTAGCAAAAAAAGCAGTGTACAAAGACAGCATGCACACAGGAATACTGTCATGCGTACAGTTGTGCTTGCCTCCTGATCCTGGTCATTCAGTATCCACTGACATATATGTATCCAAAATGTATGACCAGTTAAGGATTCATGCCCAATGGGATGAAAAAAAACACTGCTTCTACAGGAGTTTTGTGTTTTGCCTGTAGAAGCAGTTCACTGTTATCCTATGTGTCCATGCACATTAGGACATTTAGAGGCATATTTTAACTACTTGCCGACCACTGTATAGGCAAATGATGTCTTCAGCGCAGTTGGCTGATTTTGGGATGGCGTCTATTGACGTCCTCCAAGAACCCCCCCCCCCTGTGCATCCACAGGGCTTGCATCAAGAGCGCTCTGTGATCCCTGTGTATGAAGGACATAAACATAGAGAGAGGTAAAGGGCCAATCACAGTGACCCTTTACCACATGATCAGCTGTCTACAATCACAGCTGATCACATGTAAATAGACTTGCCAGTTAAATGCAGTCTGCTCTTCACGCACTGTGACAGCGTGAGGAGAAGAGAGCCGGTAACTGGCGATTCTCACGGGGACATCTACACTGATAATCAGGGCACTGGTCATCCATGCCCTGATTATCAGTGCAGCCCCATAAGTGCCAATCAGTGCTGCCTATAGGTGCCCATCAGTGCTACCTATCAGTGCCCATTAGTGCCACCGATCAGTGCCGCATATTCGTGTAGCCTCATCAATGCTGCCTCATCAATGCCCATCAGTGCTGCTTCATCAGTGCAGCCTATCAGTGCCCATAAATGCAGCCTCACTAGTGCACATCAATGAAGGAGAAAAATTACTTAGTTGCATAATTTAATAACAGAAAGTAAGAAAAACATTTTTTTTTCAAACATTTCTGTCGCTGTTTTGTTTATTTAGCATAAAATACCACCAAAATAACACCCTGTCTCAAAAAAATGGTAAAAATTTCATAGTGTTGCATGATTGTTGGAATTGTCATTCAAAGTGCGACAGCACTAAAAGCTGAAAATTGGCCTGGGCAGGAAGTGGGTGAAAGTGCCCCGTATGCAAGTGGTTAAGCTCAGCGTTTAGAGCCAGAAAAAAAAAATCCTTCTGGTTTCCACATTTGAGACAAGTTTTCTGGAAGAAAAAATGCTAAACGCCTGTAAAAAAATAGTTCTGTATTAGCATTTTTTTTTCGCCAAGGGAAACAGGGACTTGTATGCCGGAGTGCTGTTTGTTCTCTTCTGGCAAACTGCAGGTTTGAAGAATAGGTTTCCAAGAATCCTCAACATAGGACAGTGCACTTGGAGGGAGCATTTGGATGTAAACTGAACTATGACTGGTCCAACGAGATGGGCGGCCTTGGATGGTGACTATACAGTCTGAAACCTATTTTTCACTTCAGTGGGGGATGATTTATATCATTATTTCCTCTACACCCGTGGAGGTCCATACTGGTAGGATTTTAAGCATATGGGGGGAGATCACTGATGGGGGGCACAGTCTCTGATGGGGGTGCTGCTTTTGATCGAGTGCTGCATTGAAGGAGTGCGAAGCAGTTAAACACAGCAGTTGAACTAAAGCAGGAGAACTTAAGCAGCAGGAAGACACAACAACAGCAAGAAACTCTACTGCACGCTGGACAGACTGCAAGCAAACACCCTGGGAAACATCTCTTACAAGTCTGAGTCCCACTCCGTGTACCTTTATATAATACGCCCCCCTCCTCTCCTTATCATATTACTATCCTCTGTTCCCAAATCTCATTTCTTTACCCCTCTGCTCCACCCCAAAACTTGTACATCTGCCCCTCATTGCTATCATCTCCCTACTATTGCTCTCATCACCTCCCCATAATGCCTCTTCCACTCCTCCTTCTCATTTTCCTCTCCTCCGTTCCCAAAATCCATTCACTATATCCCTCTGCCCCTCCCAAACAATTTATATATAGTGTCCTCACTGCTTCCTTCACCCCTCTACGGCACCCACCACCTCCTCCTATTACTCCACTCTCCCACTGACCCGAACACCTCCATTAGTAATGAAATAAAAGTCTTAATAATGCAGCGCGCTTAATATTAACGTTGTGGCAATAACCATAAAGAACAAGAAAGTCAAATATGTTCATAAAGAGTGTTCATATGTGGTACAAATAAGTCCTCAAAGCAGAAGGTATTCCAATACGGTAGAGATCAAATGGTGCAATATACTCCTGGACGCTTCGTGAAGAGATAGTACAATAATGCACTTACCAGAAGTACATACAAACTGAGTGTTGTATGTAAATAATCCGTGAAGACTTCAGGGTCTGGTCACTGGTATGGCGTCATCTAGGGCTGTAGCGGACTCCCAGGAATGATGTCACTCATGCTTGGGGGTCACCTCAGACTCACCAGAGAGTCCAACGCTGTCCAGACTCCTGAAACCGCTCCACTTTAGATGGCTCGAAATATAACGAGCCGAGGAGGCAAAATAGTGCTAATAGTGTAGTATTGTTTATTTAAGATCAAAAAACATCAATGAACTGCAGGACACTCACATGTGACACAGCAATGGCTTACAGGTATATCCCCATGAAAAGCAATCAATAACAGAAAAAAGCGTCAAAATTGAGGGATTCCCCTGACATGTTTCGTGCGAATTGCACGTTATCAAAGGGGTAAACTTTGATAACGTGCAATTCGCACGAAACATGTCAGGGCAATCCCTCAATTTGACGCTACCTCCCCTGCTGCACTCTCCTACGGCGGTCTCACCTGGACCCACTCACCCAGGCCCAACGGTCGTAAAGGTGGTGGGGTTGGTCTGCTCCTGTCACCGGAGAGCACCTTCCCGATTCCTCCGAAACCCCCCCCCCCCTCCCTATCCTTCTCCTCCTTCGAGGCCCACTGTGTCCGACTATTTTCCCCAACCCCCCTGAAGATTGCTGTGATATACCGGCTTCCTGGATCCATATCCCGCTTCCTGGATGACTTTTCCTCCTGGCTACACTTCTTCCTTTCCTCTGAGCTACCCACCATCATCCTTGGGGATTTCAACATCCCTGTCAACCTCGACAACCCGGCCACATCCCATCTCCTCCACTTAACCTCCTCCTTTGCACTTGCACAGTGCATACAATCCACCACCCACTCCAACGGTAATATCCTTGATCTTGTCTTCTCCAACGGCTGCGCTCTCCCCCCCACAACCTCACTAACACCCCCTTCCCTCTCTCTGACCACAATCTGATTACCTTCTCTATCTCCTCGTCCTCCAACGCCTACCCCTCCACATGTCACACTACTACCAGCCGTAACCTCTGCAACCTTAACCCTGCCCCCCTCCACTCTGCAGCTGATCAACTCCACGACAGCATCCTCCCCCTGTCCTGTCCCGACTTGGCTATGACTGCCTACAACAACGCGCTGTCAACAGCCCTTGACTCACTAGTGCCTTTAACCACACACAACATCAGACCCCGACCGCTCCAGCCCTGGCAGACTGATCACACCAAAACCCTCAATTGACACAGTTGTGCCCTGGAGCGACTATGGCGCAAAACCGAATCCCAA